ATTTTTGGCGATGACTCAAATCCCACGAATAGCCACCGTTAAGGTTATACAAATTAACCATGATGTATGCTTCTATAATCAGATAGATAATAACGCGACAGCAATTTGAACACTTACTTTTTGCTTTTATAGAAGAAACAACAAACCAGAGCGGAAGTCTTATGACGTCAGAAATCTGAACAAGCGAAGAACCATTTTGAAATCGGCAACTTGAAAATACCAAGCCAGCTTTTCTAATATATACGGAACCAAACATCCATGAAACAGCATGCGATTGCCGACCGCCGAAAACACTGTCCAAGAACGATCAAAGTGCAGTTGAAACTTAAGGGAACGCAACTTTTCCCACAAAAAAAATTTGCCACAAACCCCGACACCTTTTTACCAGAAGCGACTAACAATGAAATGCCAAATGAACTACTTTGGTTGTCCACTTTAAAAGTACCATAAAAAATTTTTTGCTAATACAATTTGTATTCGGTCTTAAGAGGAAAATTTTTTGGAAACATTCCAGCTGACCCATTAGTTATTGTAGTTGTCCTTTCCTAGCTTTATGTAGCAAAAGTTGCTTCGTATAACTTGATTGAAAGTTGATGGTCTCGTGGAACGGCACAGTTGAAGATGGATTAGTCAAGCAACAAAAGCAAAAGAGAAGGAGGTGAATATAGGATACAGAGAAGTGTACGCTATTGGGATATATGGGACTGTTTGAACGTTTCTACCTTACACAAATGGCGCTACCATTGCAGTTTGAACAACCGACATAAACACCGACTAACCTGTTCTGGTTACCACTTAAAAAATTTTAAACTGAAGAATTGGGGTTAAGTGATACAGGAATATACAAAATATGCGACCGCAAAAAACTTTCTTGATGTATTTATTCATATAGGGGAATTTTTTTTTTTTTTGTTTCATGCTACAGTATGACTTAAACGGTACGGTGAAGTTTTGATAACCCTCAAATATCAAAATTTTATGGTTAGATAAGTCCAATGAAGAATAAAATTTTATCTATTTGGCAAAATGAACCGATAAGTAAAATGATTTTCCAATGATTAAAGGGTTCAACAGTTATAATTTGATAATTATAAAGAGACTGTAGCCTAGATATATATTTGTTATCAGACAACTATACGTTCGCACAGACCACTATCCTGCCCAATAGGTCACAGTCGCACATTATGATAACTGGATCTTTGTTTACTTTTTTGTTAATCAAATCATAGTATAAATCAGCAATGATTTCCGAGCAACAAATATCATAGCTGATCATCGTTCTCAAGCTGAGTACGTTGTCAAAACGAAATTTTTTTTTATTCCTCAAACAAACTGCTCAGGTATATTTCAGCTATTATCTGTAACCTTATCATAATTTTCTGAAGTTGATTACTTTTTTACAGTCTTGCTATTGCCTAGTTTGAAAACGGTAAAAAGTTTATTGAAAAGAACAACAATATGCTAAGTAACAATCGAATTAAGTATGGTATCGTACGAATTATCATTTACTTTTGCAATGAATAAAAATTTTAGAAGTGACATTTTAAAAAAGTGAATTTTTTTTACTCTTCTGGTTTCTTGTCTAATTTTCCTATTTCGGCTAAAGAAAGAGCATTTTTAGACTCAACTACCAATCTTAAAGAGAGGTTTCATAATCAATTTTTTTCTACACTAGGTCTACGTTTTCATTCTCACGTAAAGGTACTGGATAACTGAACAACAAACAGTAAAATTTTGAACTTTAATATCTCTTTATAGCAGGATGATCGTGGTCATCTATACTATGTTGGCTTTTTTTTTAACCAAGGCAGAAATGGCCAAAATTTTGTTCCATAGTATGCCTTCATCAAACAGCCATATTCAAAGTATGCTTCCAGTGGCAAAAGCGTAAGCCTAAAAGTTTTTAACTTCTTTTTTTTTTTTTTTTTT